GGCTGTGGGATTTGGGGTCTGTGTGGTGTGCAGGGATATCACTGTCCTGGCTGTGGGATTTGGGGTCTGTGTGGTGTGCAGGGATGTGCCTGCCCCGGCTGTGGGATTTGGGGTCTGTGTGGTGTGCAGGGATGTGCCTGCCCCGGCTATGGGATTTGGGGTCTGTGGGATGTGCAGGGACACGGCTGCCCCAGCTGTGGGATTTGGGGTCTGTGGGCTGTCCTGGCTGTGGGATTTGGGGTCTGTGGGGTGTGCAGGGACACGGCTGCCCTGGCTGTGGGATTTGGGGTCTGTGGGGCCGGGGATGGCACAACCCCTGCACAGTCCCATGGGGAAGGGGCAGAGCCTTTCCCAGCAGCAATGGGGGAAATCTGGGATGGTTTGGGCCGGAGGGGACCTCAAAGCTGTCCCATTCCAAACCCTTTATGGGTGTGGAATGTCCCTGCGGTGACAGGGGACAGGGCAGCCCTTCCTGGCTTTGGGGTTTTCTGTGTCCAAAGGGGTTTCTTGGGGTGGGAGGGCCCTGGGCTGCCCCTGCCCCACCCCGCTCCCAGTGCCCCGTGTCACTGTGTCACCCGTGTCACCTGTGTGTCACTGGTGTCACCCATGTCCCCCCCGTGTCACTGGTGTTCCCTGTGTGTTACTGGTGTCCCTTGTATCCCCCATGTCCCCCAGTGTCACCCAAGGTCCCTGGTGTCCCCTGTGTACCCATGTCTCTGGTGCCAGCAGTGTCCCTCATGTCCCCTGTACCCCCAGTGCCAGCGGTGTGCCCGGTGTCCCCTGTGCCCTCATATCCCCCATATCCTCAGTGTCCCCTGTGTCACTGGTGTCTCCCATATCCCCTATGTCCCCCGTGTCCCCAGTGCCAGCAGTGTGTCCCATGTTCCTGGTGTCTCCAGGGCCAGCGGTGTCCCCATTTTCCCAGTGCCAGCGGTCCCCATATCCCCTGTCCCCAAATGCCAGCAGTGTCCCTGTGTCCCCAGTTCTAGCAGTGTCCCCATACCCCATGTCCCCAAATGCCAGCAGTGTCCCCGTGTCCCCATATCCCCGTGTCCCCAAATGCCATTGGTGTCCCGTGTCCCCGCAGAAGCTGAAGCACACCGAGAGTGACAAGCTGCAGGTGCAGATCCAGGCCTACCTGGACAACGTGTTCGACGTGGGGGCTCTGCTGGAGGACGCCGAGACCAAGAACGCGGCCCTGGAGAGGGTGGAGGAGCTGGAGGAGAACCTTTCCCATGTCAGTGGAGATCATGGGTTTGGGATTTCTGAGCTCTTTTTGGGGTTATTCCTCTGGAAAAGGGTGTTTGTGATTCTGTCTTGGGGGATGGTTGATCTTCCAGGAGGATTCACCAAACCTTTCCCATGTCAGTGGAGATCATGGGTTTGGAATTTCTGAGCTCCTTTTGGGGTTGTTCCTCTGGAAAAGCCTTGGGGTGTTTGGGATTCTATCCTGGGGGTTGTTTGAGCTTCCAGGGGATTCACCAGACCTTTCCCACGTCAGTGACTCTCCTGGATTTGCGATTTCTGAGCTCTTTTTGTGGGTGTTCCTCTGGAAAATCCTTGGGGTATTTGGGATTCTGTCTTGGGGGATGGTTGGGTGCCGGTTGTGCTTCCAGGAGGATTCACCAAACCTTTCCCACATCAATGGAGCTCCTGGGTTTGGGATTTCTGGGCTCCTTTTGGGGTTGTTCTTCTAGAAAAGCCTTGGGGTATTTGGGATTCTGTCCTGGGGGATGGTTGGGCACTGATTGAGCTTCCAGGATTCACCAAACCTTTCCCACGTCAGTGGGGCTCATGGATTTGGGATTTCTGAGCTCTTTTTGGGGTTATTCCTCTGGAAAATCCTTGGAATGTTTAGGATTCTGTCCTGGGGGATGGTCGGGTGCCAGTTGTGCTTCCAGGAGGATTCACCAAACCTTTCCCATGTCAGTGGAGCTCCTGGGTTTGGGATTTCTGGGCTCCTTTTGGGKTTGTTCTTCTAGAAAAGCCTTGGGGTATTTGGGATTCTCTCCTGGGGGATGGTTGGGTGCCGGTTGTGCTTCCAGGAGGATTCACCAAACCTTTCCCACGTCAGTGGAGCTCCTGGGTTTGGGATTTCCCTGCTCCTTTTGGGTTGTTCCTCTGGAAAAGCCTTGG